AGGCGATGCTAGTAAGTGTCATACATTTACAGGGTGTCAAATTCAATTGCGCCTCTTAAAAAGCACCGTGCCTCTTAATAAGCACTGCGTCATATTTCATTTTAAAGGCAATTTGAATCTGGAGTTCTAGATTCAAACTAAAGACAGCAGCTACATGGAGGAGCAAACCCCAACTAATAAAACATGTTTTGATAATTGAGACATCTTGAAACTGGCATCTTGAACAGAGCATATCAGGTATCAGCATTTAATGGTCAACCAAATTCCTTCACTGGCATTTAAGTTATAAAATATAATGTTTTTATAAAATAATGGCTACCATTTTAAAATACATCTTCCATCTTGAGAATTTCTAAAAGCAGAATTTGTATTGTCCCTAGGCATCAGCATATAAAATTAAAACCAAATCCGTCAACTGTTATTTGGGTTATCTAAGATCACATATTAAACGACAAATGGCAGCTTTTTAAATAAATATAGCGACCATCTTTAATTTCTAGACTAAAGCTCATTTATTTATCTCAATGCTTCAATTGCGGTGATTTTGAAATTCAGATGCCCCAAAGGAAGATTGGCTCCCAGAGTGCAACATTGACATTCTGTCTCATATATTGGGATGTCGTGATACAAAATTCCAAGGAGGATTGGCTCCGATGATCGGAACTCGATATTGAAAACGTCGAAATGAGGTTATTTTCTAAAATAATAACTAAGTATCAAATCAGAAGAAACGGTCCAAAAGATTCCAACAAATATCTCGATCATTTCTTGGGAGTTTGGAATTTTTCGTTAGGAAATAAGACCAAAATTCACGAGTCAAATGTTGACGTGAACAAAATGGCGGCTGATAGAATTCAAAATTTTTTGCACTCTGAGAGCCAATCTATTTTGAATAGATTTTTCCTCTTTCTTGCTAATTTCCATTACAACTTTTGGCCCTTTCCCTTTGGTACCAGTGCTTATATATATTGAAATTTAGTGGCAATTTTGAAATACCTACCGGGTTATTTGTCAGCACTAGGAATCAGCATTTAATAAAATTCTATTGGTCACGAATATAGGTGATTGCCCAATTAATAGTACCAGTATTTTGTGATTGGTCAGATCATCCGGGTCAGATAGCATGGGTTGGTATAGTCGAAAGTTCCCTTTAACCGTTAATAATAGCTGTTTTGGTAGTTCAATTTTGATAGAACCCTTGTGTAATCAATCTGAAATAGAAGTCACCCTTCGAAAAAAAACTTTTTTTGAATTTTTTGATTAACAATTTTCGAAACAATATTTCAAGATGTGCCTGTCAAACGATTAACCTGAAAACTCACAGACAACATGTCCATTTTAAATATGACATCACATTGAAGTTTGAATATTTAATGCATTAATCGAGATTATTTATACTCGCATCTAGACTATTCCATGGGTAACTTTGAATCTAAAAATTGAGAAATCAGAAGACCACATTTCGACAGTGTATGAATAATATAAAAATATGTACAAGGCCTTTCTTTGACCGTAATATTCCATCCATTCACACCACAACGGGAAGTTTTTTTATGAAACAAATTCCTCACCCGTTTAAGCTGATATGATAAAGTATATATTCCATCATGGTTATACCATTCAAGCTTCGCTTTTGTTAATGCTATTGTATTATCTTTCCTCTAATGTTTTGTATAAAACGTATGATTTCTGATAAAGGAACACAATTGTGTTTGAAATCATTTATATTCATATTTTTGTTAACTGCTCCTTTTGTCTTTTTCAGTTTAAAATGCAAATACATCGACTATTTACGAGCACGACTGGGTTATAAGAGAACATAAAGATTAGAAGTGATATTTCGATGTAAAAGCCATCTAAACTGCAATAGAAAGCTATTTCGAACGATGAAATAAAATTCAATACCATTGTTTTGTAATCTTTATCAACAAACGTTAATCAAAGACCTATAATGCGAGTTTTATAATGATTATTCCACATCGAACGCCTTGAATGCAAGTGCCCATGTCATATAACATTTGAAAAGTTACAGAATTGTGAATTGTTGAATGAGCTCAAAATGCTACATACAAGGTTTGATCCATATAAAATGATGACGATAAAATGCTCTCATTTTGTGATTTTTCACAATCTACTCTTGTTTTGCAGACAATATAGATTATTTAAATACACATACAATGCAAAAAATATTGTTCAATTTAATTCAATTTATTCAATTTGAAATTCCATCTACGAATAGTTCATTTTTTCTCTAGCATACAGTTCAAAACGTATGAAACATTGTGTTCATTATGATAAAGGATTAGTCATTACGAAACACCACGTTCATAATACTCTTTTACAAATCTAAAATGACACAGCGGTACTTGTGTATCTTTTAAAATCAATATTTCATTATGAAGTGTATTTTTGTAATTCAAATAATCTCAAGTAAAATAAGATTTTTGTCAAAATGAAACGGATTACTTTTTAAAAAAATCTAAAATGACACAGTGGTGTATATTTTGAAATCAATATTTCATTATGAAGTGTATTTTTGAAATTCAAATAATCTCAAGTAAAATAAGATTTTTGTCAAACTGAAAGGGATTACTTTTTTACAAATCTAAAATGACACAGTGGTGTATATTTTGAAATCAATATTTCATTATGAAGTGTATTTTTGAAATTCAAATAATCTCAAGTAAAATAAGATTTTTGTCAAACTGAAAGGGATTACTATTTTTACAAATCTAAAATGACACAGTAGTGTATATTTTGAAATCAATATTTCATTATGAAGTGTATTTTTGAAATTCACATAATCTCTAATAAAATAAGATTTTTGTCAAAAGGAAAGGGATTACTCTTTTACGAATCTAAAATGACGCAGTGGTGTATCTTTTAAAATCAATATTTCATTTCGAAGTGTATTTAAGAATTTAAAATCTCAAATAAAATAAGATTTTTGTCGAAATGAAAGGGATTACTTTTTTACAAAGTGGTGTATATTTTGAAATCAATGTTTCATTATGAAGTGTATTTTTGTAATTCAAATAATCTCAAATAAAATGAGATTTGTGTCAAAATGAAAGGAACTAATCTACTCGTACAATGACACAGCGGTTTATCTTTCAACATCAAGGTGAATTTTCACTTAAATCCCAAACAGAGTGAGATTAGTGTCAGCAGGAAGTAATATATTACATTTTGATTCATTTTAATTTAAAAATGTGTGTATGCAAAATGTATTATATGATCATATATGGTATTTTATAAATAACATAACAATCAAATATAGATAATGATATACATGTTTATGATTTATAAAGTCATACAGATAACATATTTACATAAAATAAAACGAGAATAAAATAACCTAACATTTACTTTGGCTTGGGGCGCGTATGGTGCTAATCATACGCGCTATTGCATAAAGTGCATAATTAATGACGTTACGTAATGAAGTATTACGTAAAGAGGGGTATCTGACTCCTGTACACATGCTGCTGATCAGACAAACGAATATGCCCAGTAGATAGCTCCCATGATAGAAAAGGGGTGGTGAGGTATCTGACCCCCGACCATGCTTGGTAGATCGCGAAGACCTGACTCCCAAGACGAATAGTGCGGTAGATAGCCCCATGGAGAGATCTCCCGCAAAGTACGGAAGATGGGTAATTTAGACATAAAATACTGCCGAAAAATGAGAGTGTGAAATTACTTGGGGGTTAGAACGAAGTAATGAGTGTGAATGCCAACAATTACTATTGTAAAGAGAAAACATCATAAAAGAAAAAGAAAGCATTTAAAAGGATTGGAGGTGGGGAGGTGGCGGTCAACTTTGAAAAATATTTGAATCTCGTTGTGTCGTTCGCTACTTCGAAAAATTGAATGAATGATATCTTAAGATGGAATGGATGTTAAATTGTTTGAAACGTTGCGGAACGACTATTCAGTGATTGACAATGATTTAAAAATATGTGTATGTAATATGTATTATATGATCATATATGATATTTTATTCTGCTGAGTTTGTCTCGCTTAGATAAACAACTGACAAAAAATAATGAAAATGTTAGCATATAGGCAGTTCTTTGTATCACACGGACCAAAAGGTTAAAATATGCATAACTGTTCCTTGATACTTCAGGAACATTTTTAGAATAGTTACATTTAACATAAAATGACATGAAAAATGACAATTTATAAATTTTTGCCCGTTCGTTTAACTGATGCAATGTCCAGTTGTGTACTTCAGTATCCCGTTCCCATTGGTAAGTGAGTATGCCATATATCGCAGGTGAATCTGTCATACACCGCAAGTGAATATGCCACATTCGTTAGGGAATATTACATACATTTCTATCGTTTTTCCCGCAGTACAAGTTACACCGATGTGCAAGCCCAATATTTGGTAAATAAAAAATGACGAGAAAAAACACAAAGTCACTGGTTCATCGATCGGATGTTGCGTATATACTGTTAGTATACAGTAGTAAAAAACAAAAACATGTGATGCATTTTAATCCCGTATTTTTATTACAATTTTTATTAAACCCATTTTACATTCCAAGTAATGGTAAGTATAATTGAATGACTTTTCACCAACACCCTGAACTTTTCATATTTATTGTCGGTCACCTATTCGCATTGTGATCCTATTCGGCCTCTTCGTCAAAAACAGTTCATTGTAAATAACAACTCGTAAATTATTTCCGGAGGGGGGGTACTATATATTTTCTCATTACACAGGAGTAATAGTGAATATTGACCATGTATTTGTTTTCCTATAATTCCAAAATACATACCCGTATGTATGTTGACTTAAATTGGCCCATGGGTTTTCATTTTGGGTCAATATACCAATACAAATTAGGGCAAATTCCCCGGGGACGAAATCATGTTCTTTTTTACTCAGGTGCTATTAGAGAGTTCTATTGAAATTAGGTTGCAATATTTACGGGCGCCCTCTATGGCATTTGAATTAATCTATGCTTTATGTCAATTATAGCTGCCTTTCGGCGTAGCTCCATTCGGGACCAGCTTCGCAGGGGATTGCTATTGGATTGTTCCCAGAAAACTTCACGGAGAGTTGGCATCGATTGATGGAATCGTTGTAGTCTATGGACCGACATACGAAATCTGCCTCATTCACACAAAGCGCCTTGCAATCGTCTTTAGTAGCGACTGAATCGATACGGCGGTCGTTGTTTTGTTTTATGCATGCTTGGGCGATATCCCACCATATCGTTTCTAAAAAATAATGACAAGGCTCAGAATAAACGTTTCATCACCTGGTGAATTATTTCTTGGGTAAAGATTATTTGAAATAGTTACAAAGGGTTAATGTAATGCCGGTGAACACATAAAAGTACACCAGCCATGACCATAATCTAACTTTAACACAAACAAAGTCGTATAACCCTTCGCTACCATTCTAGTACCATTATCAAAATCCAGAACCATAGCACCAAAGGACATATCTTTCATACTAAAGTCATTACAATACGTGTTGATGAAAAAAATTGATAACCAATACTCAAACATTAAAATAGTTGTAAATACTAATATTCATACAAGATGAAGCATTTAGTCTCAAACGAATAAAATAAGGAATTTTAAGGAATATGCTAACATCGATTAAAACATCACAACGACGTGCGATAATCGAAAAATAGCCTGTGAAAATCCGGACAAACGAAGATGGTAAGCAAGAGACTTAATTATGTCTGTCATCTCATAAGGTCCGAGGTTTTCCCTCCTTTTGTCTTAAGTATTGAACTGTTCCATTTCACCATATCTTTTTGATTTCACGACATGCTTGAAGATAGACCGACAACCTATACATCATTTACAAACATTCATCAACCTGGATGTCGAAGGAAATATTATTAAGCACATCAACGTACCAGCGGTTCCGTTCTCACAATTAATCCCGAAGAATCCAGCCGCACACTCACACTTGTAGCCGTTATATCTGTCGATGCACCGTCCACCGTTCTGGCAGGGGTCTGAGTCACACTCATCTAATTCTACAAGTATTTTTTATTTTATTTATTTATTTATTTATTTATTTATTTATTTATTATCATATTCATTTAGTATTACATCAACAGTGTTGGCACTAGATACCCATAAAAGGGTATATCAGTGCTAACATTATACAAATAACAAGTAAGCATCACTTACTTTAAATGTATGAAATTGCATTAATTTATGCATCGATCATGGAGATGATTTAGGGCATGTTATTTAAAATGTCAACGAGGCAAGTAGGTTCACAGACAATTTCAGATAATTATATCTTGGATTATAAATTTCCCCTGATGACACTGAAATTTACCTACTTGAATTTAATTAAACACTTACCAAGCACTCTCGTTAATTCCGCAATTGCATCTTTTGTGTCATTGCAACACGATTCAATGCTATTCTGCGTGCCATTGAAATATGATGCGATGTCCGTCTTGATGTCAGCGATGTCTTCCCTTATAAGATCTAAGAACTCTGAAATGAAGAAGTTTATTTTAACAAATGCATTCGGGATGCCCACAAATCATACTTACAGTAACATTTAGTTCACAGTCGTATTTTAAGATGCTGCATATAATCATAACAAGAAATAACGAGAGAAGACTAAAATTGAAACCGGTAGTGATGAATTACTGCTTTTCTTATTTTCTGTCACCATCTATTTTAACAGTGTTAATCTAGCAAGTGTTATTTCGTTTGTTAGGAATTTTTTACTCCTTTGGTTCAATTCTTAATTTAAATACAAGTTAAATTAATTTTCAGAATCCGAGGGTCTTAGAAGTTTATAAAAACATTCCTACCTTCCTTTGAACTCTTTGAGCTCTTCGATTTTTTCGATTCACTGCTTGAAATGCAGCAACTGATGAGGACCAGCAATACCATCACCTTTAAAAGATTCATCTTGGTCGACTGGAAAAAATATTGCAACTACAATAATTCGTTTAGGATGGGGCTAACTCATATGTACTTCATGTCTAAGCGGAGTCGTTTTCGTTTTCAAAGTGCGATATACTCCACTTGTTGATTTCCAGCAATTTAATTTTCCATGATATTATACTTTTAGTACCCTCATTGAAGGATAAAAAGAACATCCTATGACTTTGTGGAATTTTATTTTAGTCTACGAGGTGATATTTATATCTGCATACGTTTGCTTCTCTATTTCAGATATCAATATCACTTCTTAGATAAAAATGATATTCCTCAAGTCATAGGATATCCTATAATTATGATATAAAAATAGTAATTTTATTTTATGAATGAAATTTTGTAATTTCATACATTTCCGAACGTATAAACAATATTTTTGGAATATTGCTTGAAGTTAAATCAAATATTGAACAAATAGAAGTATAGGATATCAATAAATAATTGTTCTTACCTTTCCAGGTTTGTTGTCAGCTCCCTAGATGTAGTTGTCTTCGTTGACTTTCACGCCACAATGCCGTTAAAATACTGTCGCTGTGTGCATGCATGCTTACTAAATATCAGAAGGTTATTTTCTCCAGCGCATAACCACTGCACTCCTCCAGCTGTCATAGCGTAGTAATACAGGTCAGTTCATTTACATAAACATATATTTCAGGGGTGTTTTCAAAATGTCGCAATTTATCACCTAAATTCCAGTGTCTTCCCCTTTCCTATAACATATAACTATTGCCTCCTTTCCTGTCATAATTTTGCCAAAAATATAAGCAATGTGGATTGCTATAAATCTCGTATAAAGATATACTAGAACCCTCACTTGGGGAGTCAAGCAAGTTGACAAGGGTCTGAGTTAACAAGGGTCCGAGTTGACTGCTGTCCGAGTTAACTATAGGGTCCGAGTTGACCAGATACCATCCCGGTAGACATTAGTAGTCATCGAAACCCCAGAACATCCAGAAATGTGTTGACATTGCTATATATTGATAAAATTGTTTCGTCTGTGGAAATCGAGAAACTGTTCAAAAACATATAGACGTGTCGCAAAAAGGTCGCGCACGCATTTTTACACATTTTTGCTTTTTAACACCACAGAATGTGACGTTTTTGAGAAAAATGTACACATATGGAAATCCTTTCGTCCTCCACATTTGCCTCTATATCTCAAAATGTTTAAGGCGAATAACTCTGATATCGTATATGTATTAACAATGGGACAGGAGCATCATAAAACACGAATCAATTGATATTTTAGGTGAAATAAATATACATGTCACTGTGCTTGAAAATAGGCGAATGGCGTAAATTAGCCCTATTTTAATGAATTTTGAAAACTTTTCCACCTTCCACTTTTCCACATACAACAGAAAACACATACTTTAACGAACAAAATCAACTATTTATTAATAAACTAGGGTTTAAGAGCAAAATAATCATGTATGATTTATTAAAAATTGATCTCGTACTTTTGTTTAATGTACACCTGAAAAGTTGAAGGTAACAAAAATGTGCAAAAACAGTCGCTGTCAACAGATTCTATTTTCAAAGTCTATGACGTCACAATATGGGACGCTTACTGAAATGCATCCTTTGAAATAAAACTTCCATCTACCTTTATCAAGACGAAAAATAAGTATTAATAGTCATATATTGTTTGAGTTATGAGCGTTTAAAGACGAAAAATAATTCAAAATGTAACGTGTCAACAGGGGATATTTGCCAGATGTTTTGGTAAAAAAACCTCTTTTTTAAAAAAGAACGCGCAAGAATCGTGAACGAAGTGTAGTTGATCTAAAAACTTCATCAAAACAGCTTTAAAATGATATATAAAAATTAGAATATTGTCTTATAATCCGGGGAATCAACGTTACATTCACGCGATACCCTTAAAAAACAAATGCGCCACCTTTTTGCGACACGTCATATGCGTATAAAAAATACGCCGGTTACAAAATAGTTTTTTAAGAAAATCGCAAACTCTCTCAATGTGTCTAAACACTTTTCGGCTATAGTTTTGCATGATACTACTATGCATTAAAAATTTGCATGCATTATGAATTTCTTGGGCTGATTTCTATGAAACAAAATAAATGCATATAAAATGACTGGTTTAAGAAAAACGCATGTTCAAAAAATCCACCATATCGATACCACTCCTTTGATTTTTTTTATTTAACTTATGCTTATAAAAGGACCCCTGTTCAACTTCGCCATTACTTACTAAAGCTCCAAGGGATTTTTGCTCTTGTAAAAACAAATCAAGGACTGTCTATAATACTACTTCAAAGCAAGGGTTCTGCAACAGGACATTAAACCTTAATGAATCGTCTTTGGATATTTTTGGTTGACACTACATTATCTTTCAAAAACAAAAAAAAATGAAACTCTGTGGGTTCATGTCTGGGCTATTGAAGGCCTTTTTTATTCCCGACCTTCTGACGATGATTCGATTATCGACTACACTGGAGGCTCTGGTTTGAGGTGTTGGGCGTGGCTCCGTCCTATTAAAACCACTAATGGTCCCTATGAACACATTGTCTAAGATCTAAGGCTCTGTAAAACTTAGTGAGCAATTAGTAATTGGCCGTGGAAACCGACGATGGTAAAAGACAATGACCTGGTCATTCCTATCACAATGCATATCGTAAACGACGGATGCTAGCAAGATAAAAAAGATAGATCATATATTCACTTATTCCAAATGATTGTCTTTATGTCTTTATGAACACAGCGTTTTATTCATCATTTCGGTCCTTATAACTAATGGGTAGGGCTTGGTAATGTGAGAGGATCATGTTCTTTTCCTACACACTCACGACTCACGCAGCAGAAGAACACTTCAAACATATTTTCTGTATCTTTTAATTCATGAACTATTCACATATTGCTAAGGCGCATTCAACAACCAGATAGTGCAAAATTATATACATTCCGACCCTTTGAAAGCAAGAGCCTTGATGAGAGAATCAGATATATCGAGCAGTCAAAACAATTTTTTTCAATTTTAGAGTATTTTTGGTCATTCCTTGTCATGTCTATTTTCTAAAAATCACAAAATGCATACTTTATTCCAGGAAAACTAATTTGCTTTTTACAACAATGTATTATTTTTCTATAACAATGGTTACCATTCTTATTATTTGGGAGAACTTAAACATTTTCACCCATTTTGCACTTCGAATCATTAATAACTTCACCAATTTATAACATATGTTTATACATAATCAGATTCTGCCTTCAAGAATAGCAGACGTTTAGATTTATAAAGTGCATACAGTGCAAATCAATAATTTTAGGTTGGTTTTGACAGATGACACAAATCGGTTTTTATTTGTGATTAAAATTAAAAAACAACTTCAAAGTGAGCTATTAGACTATTTGATCGTTCTGTCATTGCGACGTGGTAACTTTCCATTACGATTGACTGTTATTATCACGAGGACAAGGCCTGTTGTCAGGGTTTTTGTACTAGAAGTTTAGAAAGCTTAATTTCGAGGACTCTGGTATTTATTTTATACTGTTTTATATAAATGGCTTAGTGTCACGGGATTTGTCAGAAGTACTCGAAGGCAAAAACCGCTTTTACAAACTGGCTTCTTACGTACCACAGAAGCCGGCTTCTGGAGTCACCAAGAAGCCGGCTTTTAAAAGCCGGCTTCTGAAGGACAACAGAAGCCGGCTTCTGGAGTCACAAAGAAGCCGGCTTTTACAAACTGGCTTCTTACGTACTACAGAAGCCGGCTTCTACAGTCAACAAGAAGCCGGCTTTTAAAAACCGGCTTCTGAAGGACAACAGAAGCCGGCTTCTGGAGTCACCAAGAAGCCGGCTTTTAAAACTGGCTTCTTACTTACTGACGTACTGCAGAAGATGGCTTTTGAATAGAGTTTAAATTGTCATATTTCTTCAAAACTATACGGGTAAATTGAATTCTAAGCATGGATATCGATGAATTTGATCACGTTCATCAATTCCAAAAATATCATGCATTGTATTTCTGTTTAATAAAAACGTACCGCTCATTTTTCAAAACTGGCTCCAATTTGGAGCCAGTTTTCAAATCAGCTCGCACCATTAAACACAAGTTATTAACGGACAATCTAGCCACTGGGAATCCCGAGATACTGTCTCCCGATCATTTTGATGTGGATTATGCATCTTATTCTCGTATAATCTGCAATTATAACATAATTCAAGATTTTTTGCAAAAAGTCATTTCAAGTCAAAACTATAAGAGAAAATTGAAGTCTAAGTAAAAATATCGATGAATTAGATCACGTTCACTAAATCAGAACAGATTATGCATTGCATTTCCGTTAAATAAAAACGCACCGCTCATTTTTCAAAACTGGCGCCAACTTTGAGCCAGTTTACAAATCAGCTCGCTCTATCTTACACAAGCTATGTAGGAACAATCTAGCAACTGGGAATCACGGGATACTGTCTCACGATCATTTCTATGTGCATAATGCATCTTATTCTCGTATAATTTGCATGAAAATGAGAAAAAACTGAAAAATACGTAAAATTGTAACTTATTTCAAGAATTTTTGCAAAAAGTCATTTCAAGCCAAAACTATGAGAGAAAATTGAATTCTAAGTAAAAATATCGATGAATTAGATCATGTTCACTAAATCAGAACAGATTATGCATCGCATTTCCGTTTAATAAAAACGCACCGCTCATTTTTCAAAACTGGCTCCAACTTGGAGCTATGTAGGGGCAATCTAGCAACTGGGAATCACAGGATACTGTTTCATGATAATTGTTATGTGCATTATGCAATCTTATTCTCGTATAATTTGCATGAAAATGAGAAAAAACAAGCACAGATATCGATGAATAAGATCACATTCATTAAATCAGAATAGATTATGCATTGCATTTCCGTTAAATAAAAACGCACCGCTCATTTTTCAAAACTGGCTCCAACTTGGAGCCAGTTTTGTAAAATGAGCGGTGCGTTTTTATTTTTCTCTCATAGTTCTGGCTTGAAATGACTTTTTGCAAAAAATCTTTAAATATATTACAATTTTATGTATTTTTCAGTTTTTCTCATTTTCATGCAAATTATTCGAGAATAACATGCATAATGCCCATACAAATAATCGTGAGATAGTATTTCGTGATTCCCAGTTACCAGATTGTACCTACATAGCATTTGTCATATGAGGCGAGCTGATTTGCAAACTGGCTCCAAGTTGGAGCCAGTTTTGAAAAGTGAGCGGTGCGTTTTTATTAAACGGAAATGCAATGCATAATCTATTCTGATTTAATGAATGTGATCTTATTCATCGATATCTGTGCTTGTTTTTTCTCATTTTCATGCAAATTATACGAGAATAAGATTGCATAATGCACATAACAATTATCATGAAACAGTATCCTGTGATTCCCAGTTGCTAGATTGCCCCTACATAGCTTGTGTAAGATGGAGCGAGCTGATTTGCAAACTGGCTCCAAGTTGGAGCCAGTTTTGTAAAATGAGCGATGCGTTTTTATCAAACAGAAATGCAATGCATAATCTACTCTTATTTAACGAACATGATTTAATTCATCGATATTTTTACTTAGAATTCAATTTCCCCCATAGTTTTGGTTTGAAATTACTTTTTGCAAGAAATCCTGCAATATGTTACAATTTTACTTATTTTCATTTTTTTCTCATTTCCATGCTAATTATACGAGAATAAGATGCATAATGCACAACAAAATGATTGAGAGGGAGAATCTGGCTTTTAAAACTGGCTTCTTGGTAACTGCAGAAGCCGGCTTCTGTAAGTCATTCGAAGCCGGTTTTTAAAAGCCGGCTTCTTGGTGACCCCAGAAGCCGGCTTCTGATGTACTGTAGAAGCCGGCTTTAAAAGCAATATGACACCATTCGATTGAAAAACTGCTGTTTGCGTGTGGAGTTAAATCGACACCAGGGGTGTCATGAACAACCAGAAAACTATTCACTTTGGATGTCCAAAATCAGGAAAATGTTGGGAAATCTGGACTTTGGCACGGTCAAAATAGGTACATTTATACAGGTTTAGTGCATAATTCATTTATGATACTTATATATTTTCATCTAGAAAACAGCAAATCCAAGGAGTAGCAAATCCAACCGAACAAAACATGGTTTGATAAAAAGTGGTATATCTTGAAAATCTCTGTTAAAAACAGAGCACCTATGTCCCTAGGTATAAGCATATAAAATTTGAACCAAATCTGTCCACTGGTATTTCAGTTAATGAAGATTATGTTTTTTTATGAAAAGTAGCTATTTCAGCTGCTATCTTGAGGAGGGCTCCATTATCTCTATGCATCAGTGTATAAAATTTGAACCAAATCAGTCTACTGGTGTATGATCATCAACGATTATGATTTTCTACAAAAAATGGCAACTATTTTAAAATTAAGCATCCATCTTGCAGATTCCTTATCAAGCAGAGCTCCTGAGTCCCTGGCATAAGCATTTGAACTTTGAAAAAAGGCTGTCTACCGAAATTTGAGTTTTCAAAGAAATTCAGCTGCCATCTTACAAATTCCTTATCAAGCAGAGCATCTGTGTCCCTAGACATTAGCATATGAAATTTGAAAAAATATATCTACTGGTATTTGAGTTATCAAAGATTACATTCTTTTACAAAAAATGCCGGCCTTTTTGAAAGTGAAATGCAATCTAAAATATTCCTTATCGAGCAGAACGAAATCCGTCTACTGGTATTTGAGTTATCAAATATTACGTTTTTTACGTAAAATGGCAACCATTTTGAAATTCAGCAGTCATCTTGAAAATGTTTTCTTGAGCAAACCTCCTTTGTCCCTAGGTATCAGCATATACCATTTGGACTAAATCCGTCTACTGGTATTTTAGTTATCAAAGATTAAGTTTTTCTACGAAAATTGGGGACCATTTTGAAATTTAGCAGCCATCTTGAAAATGTCTTCTCGAGAAAAGTTCCTTTGTTCCAAAGTATCAGCATATAAAATTTGAACGAAATCCGTCTACTGGTACTGATTATTTAAGATTACGAAAAATGACAGCAATTTTAAAATTGAGCGGCCATTTAAAAAAATTATTCTTGAACAAAGCTCCTTTTCCATAGGCATCTGCATATAGAATTTGAACCAAATCTCTAAACTCATATTCGAGTTATCAAGATTACATTATTTTACGAAAAATGACATCCATTTTGAATTGAGCAGCTCGAGAATTCCTTCTCAAACAGAGGTTCTACCCCCATAAGGCATATGCCTATACAATTTGAATCGAACCCCTCAACCGGAATTTGAGTTATCGCTCAGACAAGCGGACGGACCTACAAACAGACGGACGAACGGACGGACGGCTTTCCTACACCTCCCTCGAACTTCGTTCGGCGGGATGATAAACTATCAATTGTGTTTTACTTATAAATTATATTTATGATGATTCAGTGAAGCATATTGAGTGCAGCTGTGACTGGAATATGAAGGGAAATTCTGGAATTTTCATTTTTTGAGTTCCGATCGCTTATGATACCCCTGGTGCCAATGTTAGCCTCTAACTACACACGATAGAAAACAATCGGATAGTGTTAACATGTTAAGAAATAATTTATATTTAAAATGATATATACTATATGACATGGTTTATCATAAATCATGTAAATCATTCATCTTTAAACGTGGGTATCATTTTTTGGCACACCCTGTACAATATGGACAATTTTAACCATATTCCATTGTTTCATATCACTTAAGATATGTCAGTTATATCAACCATTGAGACAAATCTCATTTGACCGATTGTTGTAGAAGTATTGTCAATTTGAAATAATATACAATTTTAAAAGCGTTGTGACCCATAAAAACAAAGTAGCATTTTGTTTTTAGATGGTAATTCTCCAAGTAGGTAGCATTCAATTTCGATATTTCATAGTCTTTTGTGATTTTAGAGGCCTAGGTATCTGATGTATTTGGAGTCCATTACACAATAGTATTCATTAATAACAATTCATTAATCAAATTCTCACTACTATTTCTCCAAGGTTCACAATGACTAAACGGTTTATCTTTAACAATCAATATTTTATTACAAAGTGTATTTTGAAATTTGAATATAAAATTAAATGAGATTAGTGTCACAATGTCTTAAGACAGCGCGAATAACATTATTTCTACAAAACTAAAAAAGATAGATTATTATCATGGTAACCTCTTATGCAGGTTTTTCGTGTTTTTCTAATATCTAGGAATTAATTGCTGCATGAATTTCTTCAAACCGCGAAACGAAAAGAAAGTTAAATTGAACGCGTGATCCAAAATAAAAGTTCCGGTCGTTAGCTAGTTTTACACGAGCAGGTGGACTTGGTGCTAGACTGTTTGAGCTTAGACAATCGTTGTTACTGTCAAAGTTAGTCCAAAAAACACATACTTCGCTTTGAGAGGATAAATACACAGATCATAGTGTCGTCTTTCTGTCTGTCTAGCACCTATGTTTCACGTTAAACGTTTCATGTCACCAAAGTGCGCTGATCAAGCCTAATTGCACATACAAAGAATAGGTATCGATATGCTGAACTACCTGTAAATTCAACAATATTTTTCTCTAAACCAATTATTGAAAACATTCTGTAAAAAACATGGTCCTTTATGTAATGTTGACTGATTGACAACAATTTAATGCGAAAATTATTTATAAATATTTCTTATTCATTTTTTGTAACATTTTTGTTTTTTAGTGCAATTATTTTTTGTTCCTTTCTACCAATTCTTGAGAATGAAATATAATGACTTTCCGAACCTCGTTGGAACAAAATAGCATATACAACTTTTTCTTAGACCTCTCAATAGTATGGTTAAACAAAGGAAATTTAACAAAGGGTATGCAAAATATTAAATAAAAAACCCTCAAAATAGATTAAACCTTTTATTTTATTAACAAGATACTTTTTAAAAATCAACCAAACTTTCCTTTGTACAATTACAATATTAAGAGACCTAAACACGTTATGTTTAGAATTGTTTTGTTCCAATGGGGTTCAGATAGATGTTTCATTTCATTCCAAACATTTGATACCAAGAAGAAATGGAGTGTCTGATGTATTTTCTAAAACAACAAAGAGAAAAGTGTATATATATTTTTCAGATTATAATGTTACCATCCAAATGATGACCATTAAATTGACGATCGCGATGTGTTCAATTTTCAGAATTTTTTGATACCTGGTTTAAGAGAAACTTGTGTTTAAAAAGTTCACCATATCGATACCACGATAGGGATTCCTTTAGGAATTAAAAAGTAAAGGTCATATAAGGTCACGCTGCTATGTTAGAGAATTTTATAGCTGGGCAAAAATTGATGCGTTTAATCCTTTAGATTGCTTCTTTCACGAGATTATCGGAACAAGCGTTAGTGATTGAGAATAAACCCGAGTGAGGAGATCACTGGTTATTTTGTCACTGCAAAAAATGGTGACATATTGTTTTAGTCTCCAACTGTTTTTGTAGCCGGTGTCCGGCGGATGGTATTCGGTATCCGTAGCAGCAATCAGCGTCTGTAGTAAATGGCAGGTGGCCAAATCTTGCGTGTTCGTAATTCTTACTGGCAAAAAGGATTGGGGAGGTAGAACCTCCTTACTTTTTGTACCATTGAGATGCGTGTTAAAATGACAAAGTTCGAATTAGAATTTCTCAAATCGCAGCACATCAATTTTCAAAGAATTTCAGAGGAATACAGCAAAGCATCTCACCTCCTTGTCAAAAAATTTCAGCAAAAATATACCATGAAAATCAAAATTCTGCTCTCTTACATAATACGAGTACCAAAACGTCATCATATTTATGTACATTGACCAATTCACCACTACCAAGGTCATCCATCCGTAGAAAATAATCCCAAATAGTTTACCGTTCACTGTTAAGATCACATGTTTCCCAGTTATTCTGGGCATTATATGCAAGCAAACGAGAGTATTCTATCCAAAGATGGTGCTGTAGTATACCATTGAAGTCCCCAAACAGGTTTCTAATAGAACTACTTTCCTCATACCACGAGATAAACAAACCGAGTAAGGATAACACTCGGAGGGGTCAGATGGCCTTTCAAAAGTTGAAGAGGTACAGTAAAAACTAACCCCCCTATCACACCAAACTAGTTCTTACCCGTTCTTGCCAGTCCTACGAAAATGTCGTAAAACGGGCTCAATCTGGCTGTGGTCGGGAAATATGTCTAAAATAATTAGCTACTTCGTTCATAAACAGTCTTCAATACGTCCATCTCATTCCCAGTTCGTTCAGGTCGCACCAGGTCGGTGTGGAACGTCGTAAAACGCGTCTCTTAGTCTAGAAGGTCATCATGACCTGATTACAGAACGATATGGTCGCCATTGAATTTTGAATCGTTTCAAAATTCTAAAATCACCTTCCCGTCTGAGAACGTTCATGAAGTTCATAAATAGTCCTTAGAAAGTTGCAGCTACGTTCATTCCGTTCGCACACAGTTTAAAACCAGTTTTGAAGAACGCAGTGGCAACTTGTTTGGTGTGATAGCTATATTTTTGCTAACTCGTTCATGAACAGTCTTTAATACGTTCTTAATCAATTTAAACCCGTTTGCAATTAGTTCGACATCGTTCCCAATACGTCCTCAGACAGTTCAACTCGTTTTTAAAACGTCCTTTGTAGGATTGAAGTACGACGGTTCCGTTCGTAGTACGTCCAGCTTGTCGTTAGTACGTTGTCATTCGTTCTAATTGTAGAACGTGACGACCACAAGAGCATTTTGAGAATGTTCGTGCTTGCATGAGCAATTTTTAGAGGACCTACCCGTTCACGTACGTTCGATGAAGTTTGTAAATAGATCCCAAACGGTTCTAAGTACGTTCAGTCCGTTCGTACACAGTTGAAGCCCGTTTTCGAGAACGTAGTGAGAACTAGTTTGGTGTGATAGTAGGGTAAGGTATCATAGAATAGGTATTTCGAAACTCTCGGGGAAGGTGCGTGTATTAAATCTCAAAAATAGGCCAAATAAGGTCAAATGAAGGTCGAAGAAACATTTGGGGGGAGACCTTTCGGTGCATATTTTACTTTTCCAAAATAAAAACCGTATATAGTATTTGGTAGCAAGAAAAAAGGAAGTAAATGTGGTAGATTTGTGTAGGACCTACCTTTTTAGGACAAAAAACGTGGGTAAATACCTTTCCTAGATCTGGTAATTTGGTCAAGAATTGAAGAAATGAAACATCGAAATAATGGAGAGAGGGAAGACAAAACAAAAATCCTAGAAAATACTACTGCCTATAATACAGCTTAAACATAAAAATATTGTGTTGCAGGGATGTGAAAGACATGTTCAGAACCACCCCATAAAAACTCATGGATATGTGACCACCAGTTTTTGAAAAATAGTTTCTACACAAATTATTTGGATCAAAATGTGAGTCGCGGACAGTTGTGCCCTGGAATATGATATTGAAAACATTGCATCTCAGTAATAATGTAAGAAAGTGCGTTTGCTATACTGTATGGTCTGTATTCAAGATAAACTAAATAGAGCCAGCTTATATTTTTATTTTATGAAAACACGGATGTTTCGATTTTCAAGCAATTTTCTGAAATAGAAATCAAGTTCCCACTATTCTAACTCAGCAACTTTACCCCTGATCGCCTTGATTTTTGCACCGAACTTAATTTGTCATCTGTACAGTGTAGCTATAGCTACTACGATAAGAGAAGAATTTTTCATGACAGAAAAGTATCGGGATGTTGGTGGCCATCAGACCCCCCCCCCTTCAGGCATTATGGTTTGTGCCTTGTTTCTATCTCCTTGTTGACTAGAGAGTTCATAAAGTTATGTTTTGCGAGGACAGCTCTCACAGCTGGGGACGAAAAGCGCCTCTTAAAGGAGGGATTCTGTACAACAGAATAATGTACCAAAAGAAAGCCATTTCTGTTTTGCTTTTTATTGAACAAGTTTGAAGAATAACAGTGCCGTTGTTGCTAGCCATTGGTCGTATTTATGTTCTGTGCTACCTATTCGTCGTATTTGGTCTTGGTGCTAACTCTTCACGGTCCTTGCATTTTTGCCGTTGTTGCTACCACGTGGTCGTATTTATCCTTTGTGCCACCTCTTTGTCGTATTTGGTCACATTGCCAAATCTTCACGGTCTTTTCCCTTGTTGCTAACCCTTGGTCGTATTTTTCCTATCTGCTACCTCTTCGCCGTCTTCGGCCGTGTTGCTACCTTCACCGATGGCTTCTCTACTTTTGCCAACGACAATTTACCATGCGGATTCAACACTGGTATTGTCTGTTCCGATTTCACAATTGCCTTTAGGCCTTCATTTTGATCCTTTACGTTTGTCAATTCTCTTTTGATATTCACGAATGTTTTGAACCTTTTATCAGCCCCTAATTGAGACCGAAGTCGTGCTATCTCTTCTCTGAGACTAATTATTTCTAACTGGAGTAACTCCTTGTGTTTGTTGCAGTCTTCTAGCCCACACCTGAGATCGTTGACTTCTCCGGTGAGATAGTCGATCATACGTTCTTTTTCAGCTTGTATATCAATATAGTGATCAATGTCTCTATGCAACCGTGCGACTGTCCTTTCTAATTCTGCTATCATGTCATCTTTAGATGTATCATTTTTCATATCATCTAGCGCTTTCTCAGTATCTGCAAGTTGGTATTTCAACATTCTGATGTGGTCTTTGGCGTCATTTAGATCACTTTCTAATTGTTTGTTGTTTGTTGTTATCTGGATTATCTCGGAGAGTTGCTTGGAGGTGATGTCTTTTAAACGTTTATTCTCTGCTTTCAATCTCTCAGATTCCTCAAGAATGGACTCCAAACGTAATTCTAGCATCTGAAAAAATCATCAATTGAGTGAATGCGATGTAAGTATACGTTTTCTGATAGTCATATTAAAGGGAACATTAGGCATTGACCTCCGAGGAACACCATCCAAAATAGAGGCGATGATAAGAATATGTCACCACTTCTGGTGGTTACACAATAAGTTATATATATATTTGGAAGAACGTCAATGTGAATGTATAAGTGCATTCTTAACTTATTGTCTACTAATTTAGATTATACAGAGACCTACAGTATACATACAGAGACTTTCAAAGCACAACACTATACTCTCTATACTATTCCATTTGTTTCAGTTGTTTTGGTTGAGGAAAAATGTGTTAGGTCCTCTTATATTCTACTGTTCACCACCCACCTCTAGTTTTCCTTCTCTTTTCTTGTACTGGCGGATTTCATGGGCCATCTTTTCGTTGATTTCTCGTAGCCTCTTTATCTCGATCTCCATCTATAATACAGAAAGAGTGGAAATGATTTTGGTAAAATGTAATACTCTCAATTAATGGCTCAATGGTTTTGTAGACTTAATCACATACATATAAGAATGTTTTTAATCGTGGAAAATGTTATATTATACCAGTTCTCTTGGTGTTATGATCTAAGATTGTGATATTGGTACTTGAATGTTGGGGGGGGGGGGGGGTCGACACGTTTTTTCACGTTTGGGAAACTGGGGCTAAGACATAGGTCGGCATCATAAGGAATTATAGCCTTCTTTAAGTTCCTTTATTGTTGGAAAACAGAAAGATGTGATATGAACCAAAATGTTTAACCGGTAGTGATGAAGATTATGTTAATTCCAATCAAAGTTAAAACGGTTTTAAAAAGTATTTATGAAGTAATTCACACTATTTCATACTAGATCGGTCATATGAAAATATTTACCATATGTTTATCGTGTGCCCATTTCTCCGATGCAAGCCTATAATCCTCAATTTGGCGTTGAAGCTGCAAGCAAAAATGTATTCATCTTAAGTGACATTTAATTGTACATGTACAGGCCGGTCTTTAGATTATTCGTTAAGTATGATTCATTTTCATTCATTCTAGTTCATTTAAAAAGTATACAACTTGATCAATATACCCAAGCTTAAGAAATAAATAATATATATAACTTGCATATTTTGTCCTATCCTCGCTACGGTGTTTTAATACCAATAGAAAATATGGAACTGATGACCGTATACAGGAAAAAATCAAACCACATCGTCCTAAATCAAATCAAATCAGAATGCATGCTGCGAAAACGACTTGGATCGCACATTGAATCAAATAAAAGCTATCGCATTTTATAGTTGGCATGGTTAATAGAAAACATTAACTTTATGAATACAAAAACAACAAGCCCCGACAATCAATATCAACTTAAAAAAGCAATCCGAATGGCAGAACTACTAGATATAGTATGACACGAATTAAATCATATTTTAGAATGTTATCACATAGCACCAAACAACAGAACTACTAGATATAGTATTACACGAATAAAATCATATTTAAGAATGTTATCACATTGCACCAAACAACCTATAAGACAGTCAATATTAAGCCAGAAACCAACCAAATCAAGCCTAATAAGATGTTATAAAATGTTAACAATTTACCATTAGTCTGTCCAGCCTCCATTGGGCTTCTTTCTCTGCAATCATGGCTATCTCTTCTTTCAACTAAATAATGAGAAAACGTCGCTAAAATCGAACACCCCTATAAATCATGAAACCATATCCCAATAGAAAACGTGAACTACTATATGAACCATATTTAAAATAACAAATAGCCCAACAGAATGCTACGAATAGCATGGAGAGTAGAATAGAAAATATATGAATCAGATTCAGCGATGGTTATGATTAAGGTCTTTGTACCAATTGAATGTTGTCAAGAATGTCTGGTCAAGCAGAAAACAACTTTAAAAACTAAAATTGCAAATCGATCTGCCGTGTACATATAGATTGCCCACCTTTTCAAGTTGTTCAGCTAAAATCTTCTTCTCATGTACGACCTCTCGTACAAAGTCCCAATCTTTCACTCGTATTCTCTTTTCCTTTTCGTGGTCCACGGGGCAGGGGACCCCACCACAATGGCCGCAGTTCAGTGCATGTAGCCAGTGGACTTTGTGATTATTAAGTCTCGGTGCAATCCCAACTACCCCAATATCGCCATCCTTCTCACCGAGAGTATCTCTAATGTGGATATCATCAAGGCTGGCGTACCACATGATATTCGGGGGAGGGGTTGGATGTACCCCTCCGAGGACGTCCGTCATTGGGGACAGAGCAGATGCCGTTGCCATATTATAGCCTATTGATAGGTGGCGCCACGTTGTGGTAGAAATATAGATACTCTATTGTTGCTTGATTTGTCTGTTCTTGGACGTAGTCAGTAAAGTTATATATGTCCGAATCCTTCCAATTGAATCTCAAACACGCAAACAACAATTCAATAAAGGAATATTCAAAATGTTACCCAGTTGAGAGTGCGGTCTAGTCCAATCATACAATTATCGTATACCGGTTTCCAGGGCTAATTGTCTGTGTGTCTCCGAGTGTCGAACCTCCACGACAAGTAAACATTATATTCACACTTTACATCTGTGCTTTCAGCAACTGTACTTACGGGACTTTAACAATTCTTATTCCATTAATGCGAAAATCTGACTGAACATGGTCGCTAGGTTGATCCCTGTTGCAGATTTATTAAGAGTCTAATTGAAGTAAATATCTCAATTTACAGCCAAGAGCATTAAGAATGTTTGATCAATAACTTTCTTTCTGAGTACATTCACGTATCCGTGCCTGACGTAGAAATCGTTAACTGCAATATACCCTTGTTGTATTTCTATCTTTCATAACACTTCGTTTTTATACAAAGCCAAGCGACCAATTCAGGGTCAGTTTTCAAATATAAAGTCAATCTTCAAATACAAGGTCGATCTTTCAATGATAAGTCAATCTTCGGATAGATAGGCAAACTTCGAATACAACCCCAATCTTTAATTTCACAATGGACTGGTTAGCCTCCAACCTCGTCTTTTAATGTTAACGATAACTAATTGCCCGACTTACGATAATTCATGGTTTGAACTTATCTTCATAATACCATTTTCCTCAAGTTTAACATACGCACTATTGTTTATTCTTATTAACACACGTGCCGTTGTTATGTCCTGTCTCGATAGCTCTCTATACATGTACATGTATTTTATCAAGCACTGGTTGAAGAATATCCAAAAGTGACTCGTTTTATCGTCTACTTCAAAATTTTAGTTAGCACCGTTCGTAAAGGCAGCCAGGTACATGTAGCCTTAAGTTCAATTTGACATTCTTTTAATGCACGCTTTATGCTATTGTACACTATACTTTTCTATTGAATTTGTTCATCGGATCAGCGATTGGATTTCAGAGCTAAGGTGATTAATATAATGCCAATGGTTTACTCTTGTTTGTTTGTTTAATACTTGGTTCTTAAGAAGACCCATATTGCAGCTTTAGAATTGTGAAGTTCCTCAGGAATTTATGTGACCGTCGTGTTACATATTCGTAACACATTCAATAGATGTCACTAGAATCGAACGAGGTTTTCTTGTCTTCGCAAATTTCCCATCTTCTATAAGATTTCAGCTAGTAATGGGAATACTATTTAACACGAATATGGCTAGTTTTATTAGTTTTCTATGTGTTTATATGTCATTTAAATATGAATGAATATTGGCAGGTGTTATTCATATTTAAATGAGTTGCCCATAAAATTGTAGGTCTGTTAGCCGATAGCTGTTAGTGCATTTGGGAATACAAGCTTAATGTTCTCATCAATGGTGTGTTTGTGTTTATCAAATTAAATCAAGTTTAGACTTTTCTTGTCTTCGCAAATTTCCCAAGTTCTATAAGATTTCAGCTAGTGATGGGAATACTATTTAACACGAATATGGCTAGTTTTATTAGTTTTCTATGTGTTTATATGTCATTTAAATATGAATGAAATAGCGGCAGGTATTATTCATATTTAAATGAGTTGCCCATAAAATTGTAGGTCCGTTAGCAAATATCTGTTAGTTGCATTTGGAAATACCAGCTTGGTGTTCTTCTCAACTCAATGGTGTGTTTGAATTTATCAAATTAAATCAAGTTTAGACTTTACTTCAAACATGAGACAAAATATTTACAATAGAGACTCAAATTGGAAACAGTTACTATGGTTAATCATGAAAATAGTGATAATGAAGAGGAGCTATTAACCCAGAATTCAACGGTGACTTTGATTTATCCGTCTGCATGAAAAATATGTTCATCTTCGAATTCTGGGATATTTCACCTTTTGTGATAATGTGTGTTTTTTTTTATATTTCTGAAAGTTAATCCACTTGGATTTAACCAAAATGTATCCCTGCAAAGTACTTACTATTTTAATTGTACATAGATATGTAAATATGTTCTGCAGATATTATATCATTAAACGGAGATTATTTACAAAAATGAATATATAATTTATGAAGAATAAAAGTTGTGTTTGTTATTTTATAAGTAAAGATATACCAGGTATATAGCAGTGAACGGATATTGGGAAGTTGTCCCATATATCATATCATCGTATCATACCATAACATACCATAAAATGGTACGATATTATAATTGTCAACCTGGAAAGCAGCGGTGTACAATTTAAAATTCTTCTTCGTTTATTAAGGAGAAACGAAGGGTCCCGGGCCCGTAGCCAGGGGTGGTTCGCAGAGTTCGGCCTGGGTCCATACTAGAGTTTATATTGACATCAGGATCAGTTTAGGCACCATTGAAATATTCACTCAGACTGATTTCAATTGCAACTGAAATTCACAACAAAATCCATGAAATGGTTCACAAACTTATTCAATAAAGAAAAGAGCTTTAAAATGCTTTTTATTTGAAGCTTCTGGCTCAATTTTGAAGGAACTTGCATCAATTTTTGTAAAATTTGCACCACCTCCCACCGACCGAAAGCTGGCTACGCCGCGACCGCGACTAATTCTGGGCATTTTGAATCAATTACAAGTAATTATTAATTTTTGTATATATCATGCTGGAAAACAATTTGTTTTACCCATCGTCCATCCATGCCCTGCCCGCCGTCTGACCAAGAGTTTTCCTAAAATCTGTATATTTTACATATTGTATGCTCTCATACACATATGGCCTTTTGAAAATTCTCATATTTTTAACATGGGAATTCCTCACTTCAGCAAATCCATGACAAATTATTTATGGCCAAAACTGTACGTGTAGTTGCAGAACTCAAAAATTCGTTGAACATATGCTTAGGTTTTGACAATTTAGGGATCAATACAACATTTGTACATAGACGTGCTTGATTTGAATTAGCAGGTACGCGTAATTAGTTCCAAACGGAATCGATTTCTTAGTTATGTGCCAAATTAGCTAATTTTCTTGACGTGATCAACGCAAACATACCATGTGAGCAAATAGGCTAGATTTTAAAATATAGACAGGTTCCAATTTCAGAATATCTCAAGGGAAAGGGTTTTTAAGGCATTTTTTAGAAAAAGCAACAGAGCTATTTTTTCTGGATCAGTTTTTCATGCTGATAAAGATATTAAAAGATGACAGCTCAACGGGGTGGTCACGACACTGAATTTTAGCGTTTTTACCCCCTAGGGAATTATTTTAGGGGGTACTATAATATTAGTTCATAACTCAAAGGATATATAAACTATTGTTCTGAGTTCTACAGCATACATTGTTAGTACAAAGATGAATACTACCCTAAAGTTTTAGGTTGATATCTTTGTTGGTTTCGGAAGAATACAATTAATTAGAAAAAAATATGCAATTTTTGTCATTTTTTTCTTGCTTATTTTATATTTGTAGCTTCAAGCAAATTATGATAACTTACACAGCTCAAAGTAGTATTCTAACAATATTCCCAAGCTATGTGTGATATTGTAATACATATATTATAGTGATGAAGTACTATTTTGTAATTTTAATATGACTTTATAGTGCCCTACCCCTGGTAAATAGAAGAAAGTTGGTGTGGTTTTCTTCTGGTTTTAACATTTAATTGTCTTCTTCGTTGAAGATACAATCAATTCTGTCAGTTAACCATGAGAAACTTAACAATGGTTAACTATTCCCATGAATAGAGGGTTGGGACCTCAAAAATACCAGAACTGTTAAGTGGCATCCTTGGGCAACCCTCTTCAGAGCATTTTCCTTATATCATCCTATAAAATCTGCAGGGGACACTATAAGAAACCTATATATCTAAGATACTAGTAATGAAGATACTGAATTCAAATTTTCAGGATTTGGTCCTGGTATGATAGGTAATCTGTATGACAAAAATGACAAAAAGAAAAAACTCTGTTGCCATAGTAACAAGAATACGACACTATTTGTTTCCTAAGAAATGTGTTTTAAGAGGTTTTATCATTCTCTTCATATTTAATTTTAATTCTAAATATGTCTACAATGTGGGATGATTAAAATTATGGTAAAGTAATCTTTTCTATTGTTCTATTGTTCTCTAAAACAGAAGTTGCTACGCTCTATTTGTCAGGAAATTAAAATGGAAACTGAAAAATGAGTTTCTTCCTACTGAATAGCAATTTGGTAGACCAAGGCTGACACGCACAGGAGAAAACGTCTATCAGTTCTATGTCATTTTGTTGTTATTTTTTTATTTATCGTGCTCTAGGACTTATAACACCTAATGCCGAATCTTTTCCAACTGCAAAGGAAGGCAAGATTTTAATAATGAACATTCATATATCTCAAATATCTCAACAAAGATTTGGACAATGATGATGAAACTCTAAGGGAAAATTAGACGAAACATTAATGTGAGTGGTCCAAAAATAACACTTACATGTTTTGAAAAAGTTATGCTCTCGGGTGAATCAGTGCTCATTTAAGGATAGTCTGAATCAGGTGAATTTTTTAATCTAATTGTACCCCTCCCCCAAACCCCCAAAGGATGTGTCTGGATATATGCCCTTTTGGTCCCTCAGTCAAAAGTATGTGAAATATGGTTTTTATTACTGTCCTAGTTATATTTGAGAAGTATATTTACTTTTTCATGAGTTTTGATGCACAATTAATCCCCTGCTGAGAGTCAGAATAAGTATCTTAACAAATAAAAAAGGGTCATTATCATAGAAAAAACACCAATGGCAACATGTATGACATACAAAGAAGAAATAACTTAAGATCCATGAAGAATTAAAAAGAAAATCATATTTTTGAAATATATTTAAGGATTAAAATCTTTTTCAAATTTTTGAATTTCCCGCCAGTTTAATTTGAAGGGGGAAAAATAAGATGGCTGCCATTTGATGTAAGAAATATCAGAAAAAAGTTGCTTCACTTTTAGTTTTCACATTGAGCACAGTTTTCCGGTTTAGGTTTTTTGACTGATTCTGACTCTTCATCACCAGGGCCATGTATAGAGATTATAAAATTGAAACCAAAATGTTGTGCTCAGCATGAATTTGACTGAAATATGTGTAACTTCACCAACACAATTGAAGTGTCAAAACTGGATGCTCAGTACCTTTGCGTGACTATAATCCCTTGATTACCCAGATAAACACCAATTCACTTATCCAGATATACCATTCAATGTCTCTACAAAGAAAGTAAGCAATGGTTTGGAGGATATGTTTCACGCTTTTTGTATAAATAATTCATTTAATATTTGCCATTAATTTTTTTTGAATTCTGACAAAGCGATATGCACTGTCTTTGATCCCAATATTCTTCATCAATTGTGATACAAATTGATATTTTTGTAATCTCATAAGAAGGATAAGATATTGAAGTTTAATAATATGTGTGATTGAGTTGGTTTTTCAGACATTACAATTTTCAATATTTTCTAAGTCGATACCCAGACTCATTCCCAGACTCATCCTTTTGACAATTGTCGAAAAGTGGCAAACAACAATTAAACAAACATCATTAAAGTTCAATATGGCTATTTCGCTTCTCTGTCATAAAGATATGGTAAGATCTCAGGTCAATCAATAAATTTCACAAGTGACACAAATATTATCGTATTTGAAGACATGTCAAAAATTTGGTTGAAATAATTTTGTCACTCCTGATTTGACCTGGAAAGGTTCAGGTAAGTTATCACAAACAATTTCAGACAGTTATATCTTTGATTATGACTATTTTCTGACCATGAAGACAGGTATACAGGGATAACAAAGTCAATCGGACTCGGAGATATTTCACTAGCAATCAACCCATCAATATATTTTTTCAAAGTTGTTGACCTCATTTTCACCACAAATGCAATCATTTTAACAATGTTTAATGCATTACTATTCTTTATTTTAATGTATCAAATAGCTCTTGAAAAGAAAACTGAATTCCCTAAGATTAGTGTTCCCCATGTTATTTCCCCTTTGAAAAAATTCATGCTATCCATTGGTTTCAGTTCATTTTGGTCATCCAAATTCAGTGTCTTTAAAGTCCCTGGAACAATCCACTTTTCCTCTTAGGAAATAGAACATGTCTCAAAGCATATTCTAATTATGCATTCAACAATATAATTAAAGGTTGCATCTTTGGTAAAAATTAGGTCAACATTTTTAGTAAAAAGTATGTTGATTGGGCCATTCCCTTCAATATCACTTAGGTCTGATTAATCATTATATTTACTTTTCTTGAAGATAATGAATAGTTCTAAAAGATATACCCATGTTCATGGTCAGAAAATATTCATAATTCAAGTTAGAATTGTCTGAAGTTGTTTGCGATAATCTACATGCTCCTTTATAACATTATTATGTAAATACCTGTGTAAGTGGAACACTCTCCGTTCTGCGTTCCACTTAGAAGATGTTCCACTTACAGAGGTTTTGGGTTCACAGGGAACATACAAAATCAAATACAGGATTTATATGTATCATTGGAAATATGATTCTCCCTTCATTACAGGGCAGGTATATACCATTAATTATCCATTTATTTAACTCAAAAAGGTATCTGACATTCTTAATCCTCCTCATTCTGCCAAAAATGTTTTCTGATATTCTTAATCCTCCTAATTGTGCCAGTCTCAGGTACAAGGATTAGGCAATTAAGTTTTAAAGACTTGTTCCTACTGTTAATAATTCAATGGTTTTTAAATGACATTTTTAATCTTACTTATTAAGATTTGAAACAAACAGCAAGGGATATTAATTAGTGGTAGCATCACGTGTCCAGTTCTACAGGAGGTTAATCCAATTTTCTGAATGAAAATCTTATGAAATCTTAATTTGCTGATAATCAAATTAATTATTGGTTGCATCACATGTTGACCTCTACAGGAGGTTAATCCATTAAAATCCATTAAAATCGTAATTTGCCAATTATCACAGTATTACCTGTTTTCATACCCAGATATCATTGAAGGAGATTAATTCTGTTTACATATATCAATATTGAAATCTATGGATATTGACTATTCCACTTAGCAGGTTAATTTTTCAATATGGGGTGTTCACTGTTCAAGTTTGGAGGTGTTCCACTTACAGAGATTCAATTAACATTAAGTCAATGGGTTTTTAAAACGGGACTTTGGAAAGGCGTTCCACTTACAGAGGTGTTCCACTTAGCAGGTTCTACTGTACATTACTTGTGCATGATGACCACCATAGTCTAGTTGCTCAAATAAGATCAATTGATGATTATAATGTTTAGACTTTATGTCAATATCCAGACTGTATGCCAACCTCTCTAGTATGTGATTTCACTAGATTTCATTATGATACATGTACTTAATTGAAAACTTACATATAAAATATCTTAAGTCCTATATTCTAGTAATAAATGAATTAGAATGTCACCTAACATTTGATGATGGTATGAATTTATTGATTTGGTGTCTATCAATACATGTTTCTAACTTAATGCTGCAAAATGATAAAATTCACCACATCCACTTTCTTCAATTTTCCAGGGGTAGGGCACTATAAAGTCATATAAAAATTACAAAATAGTACTTCATAACTAAAATAGATGTATTACAATACCACACATAGCTTAGAAATGTTTTTAGAATACTACTATGAGCTGTTAAAGCTGTCATATTGTGCTTGAAGCTACAAATATAAAATTGGCAAGACAAAAATTGAGTATCTTTTTCCTGTTTTTTGTATTTTTCTGAGACCAATAAGGGTATCAACCCATTACTTTAGGATAGTATTCATATTTGTACTAGCAATGTATGGTGTACAACTCAGAACAATAGCTCATATATCCTTTGAGTTATGAACTAGTTTCATAGTACCCCCTAGAATATTTTCCTAGGGGGGTAAAAATGCCAAAATTTAGTGTCGTGACCACCCCGTTGAGCTGTCATCTTTTAATATCTTTATCAGCATGAAAAACTGATCTAGTAAAAATAGGTCTGTTGCTTTTTCTAAAAAATGCCTCAAAAACTTGAATTATTTGAATTGGAACCTGTCTAATATAGAAATCCAATTAGTTGCATATTATTTATGTATTTAGTCTTTTTCAAGTACCCGTTTTTCCTTGTGTTTACTAAACCGCAAAACAAGTAGTTTGATTCAAACAATTGGATTCATTTATAAACACATTTCACAAAAATACATGGATCTAATTTGTAGCAAACATGTCGCGTTACTAAAGTCTAGTAAACCCAAATATATCCCCGAGCTCCTAATTTTCGGATCCTTCTAAAATAAACGCAAGGCAAAGAATATTGGCCATTACGCGGATTAGAGTTAACGAGGCGTATAGTTTTTTTTTTCGTGAAGCCACTCGGTAAAATTACGATTTCTCTGCAACCTGATGTCCAATCAAGATCATTCAAGTATCTATGTGTTCCTGACACGTTTTGGCGTCAGGGAATATCAACGTCTACCCAAAGTGGGGTTTATATGTACTTTACTTGTTTACATGAACGTAAATCATTACATGAAATCTGCAGTATTCCGGGTTTTATCCATACTCGTTTCGCAGCAGTTAAGGCCACCTTAAAACTTTTATCTTTTAACTTTGACTCTATAGCTCAGTTGGTTAGAGCGCTGTCAGCTGTCTTGTCGGTTCGGGTTCGACCCTTGAAAGTGGTACTTTTTTTCTTTAACACTGCATATGGATCGCTAATATATATATGAAATATTTGACCGGAACTGACACTTAGAACGAGTTGGCCGGGTGGCATCGTAGTAGGTCCATAAACCGGGGGGTCAGTGGATCGAAACTAAGGAGGGACGGGCGCGATTATGTATGGAAAGGTCTATAGTACCTTGTGGTTTGAGTCTTTTCCGAGGCCTAGCGAGTCACGGATGTGAACTGCCCGCTCTTGGCAGGGATCAGAGATTAGGAACTCGACTTATTCCTCCCTTACTCATGCATATGATCTGTTCCGGAGCTTAGTACCATAGAGGGAGTCGGAACTCTTGTGTGGACGCAATGCTCCTCAGGCTACGTCATTGCGACAAACGTCGAGTGTGAGATTGCTTACCACCCTCAATGACTGGGAAAACCTTTTGTTATTTTTTAGGTTAAAAACCCTCCGTTTTGTTATATTATATAGTTTAAGATTCGGAAATTTCAGTTGAATGAAATGGGGTCGAATCTATACTGTGTACTGTATTACTGAAACGGATCCGTTTAAGTGACAGAATGTCGGAACCTGAAAGCTGAAACTCATAAAACTCATAAAAACTTTTCGTGTTGTAGGCAGAATTCCCATCATCAGAATTGTACGTTAAGCATGGACGTATATTAAGACTTATCATTAATTTATGATATACGTCCATGGTTTAAGAAAATCTACGAGATAAAGATAATTAAATGTAGTTACGTTATAGTGGTTGATAAGCATATGTTAGACCGTAGGCCTACGGTCGCCGTAGAAAATGTGACTATCACTTAATTTTTCTTAAACGAATCCGTATTTAGAAAATTAGAGTTTCGACTTGTACGTAAACTTGTACTTCTAAATAAAAATACAATAATCCATTGAAAGTTCTTAAGACCAAGATTCGAGCTAAACACCTAGAGAAGATGTATCTATCATTTATTCTCCCAAACTTAGAGTATGGAAGTATATTATTTGAAAAATCTACCAAGTATAATATTATGAAACTAGACCAAGTTCATTATAGGGCAGCATTATTAGTAAGTGGCTGCATGCATGGAACATCTACTGTAAAGGTTTTGAAATGTCTAAATTGGAATACCCTGTCTGAGCGGAGAAAGGAGAAACGTTTACGTTTAATGTATGATGTTAGACAGAAATTGGTCCCAACTTATGTTCAAAAAATTGTTGATAGTTATCAAAATAAGCAACATAATATTAACTTGAGAAAATCAAGAGAATACACTATTCCAAAGTTAACTGCACGTTCACAAAAGTCACCAATAATAAATGCCATAAGAGAATGGGAAGCCATTCCAAATTATCTAAAAAGTGCACCATCAAGAGTCACTTTCAAAACCAATTTACGTAAATATTCAGGAACAATGAAGCATTTAACAACCACAAACCTGGATCTTACAAGAAAAGAAGAAATTTTACTGAATAGAACAAGATGTGATTTCATTTTTACTGGTCATCTTTTTCAACATAATTTTCAAGGTATTGACAGTCCCAAATGCATCTGTGGTTTTAAACAACAAACTACAAAGCATCTAATCTTCAAATGCCCTCTGTTGAATGTTATACGAGAGAAACTTTGGGGGGAACTCAGGAACATGCCAGAAATGAACATTTTCTTTACAGGATGCTCTATAGAGCAAAAGCTGAATATCTTAATGTATGGCAGAGATGGAGTTAGCATAACATGCAATTCTTCAATATTGAAGCATTTTACATCCTTTTTGTGTGAATGCATTGATATAATTATATAGTTTTAACACATTCCTGCCATGCATACATATATGTT